ATCCATCCATCCATCCATCCATCCATCCATCCATCCATCCATCCATCCATCCATCTGTTGGACTTCCACTGTTTTTAAAACCTCCCTAAAACTTGACGACCAGATGATTCTGCCACTAAGGATTGTTTCCAACATGAGCCAAAGTTTCTACGCAGTAAAACTTATATTTCACTGCACGCCGATTATCAGTGAGACTGAGAGGTGACCGTGAGGGACTTTCCCAAACGTCTCATTTCACTTTATTTTGAACATGTTGAAAATAGTCCGAGTTGTTGTTGGTTTTCTGGAATCCATGACAAACCCTTCCAAACTTAGTTTTCATAATTCTACAACACTTGAGCTTTACTTTTTTTTTTTTTTAGCATAATGCCACAATCCTCCTGAACGTTCTGGCCCAAATTCAGCGCGACTCCCAGTGAGAACGTGTTTTCCGGCAGGTTTGAGTCTCCCATTAGTTGTTACCATTCACAGAAAACTTAACTGTTTGTCTGAGGCTTACTTTTTACTGTGCACTCCTGTCTGTCTCTTATTGTGCTGCCAGGGACAGGTTTATGGTAACCATGGCAACCTTAATGAGCCACTGGCAGCAGCTTCAAGATATTTTCTTGAGAAATCTTTATTTCCACTTATCTGTGGTCAGGTCACAGAGGAAACGGGTCCAGGAGAGACCCCCTTCAGAGACACTCCCCAGGTCCTCCTGGGACCACGAGGTGTTCCCAGACTGGAGTAGAGTTCTGGGTCTGCAGCAGATCTTTTCCCAGTGCCCAGACAACCTCAAAAAGAAGGCGTCCAGGAGGCAGAACCAGATGAACCTCAACTGACCCCTGTTATTTCAAAATAAAAGCCCCAACCTGTTATTGGTCCTAAGAGTGAAGGGGCGCCTGCTCTACGTTTATTTTAGGTTCTTCTTCAGCATCAGGAGTGAAAACCTGGTGGAAGCTGCCTCCAGTCCGACCGCAGAACAGGACATAAACTCTGGACTCTGCGCTCACACTCCACAAAGTCGAGCTCAGATTATTGTCACAGCAACACACACACACACACACACACACACCGCTTCACCTCTGTTTTATACATCTGGACCTGGGTTTCCACCCGAGGAGCTTCAAACTGCGACCAGCGCTCAAGAAGTCCAAGAACGGACAGGTTGTAAATAACCCTCCATCAAAGAGGCCTGAAGCGTTCTGGTTCTGATCCGAACGGTCTGCGAGGGCAGATGGAAGCAAGAAGATCTGGCAGGAGATTAAAAAAGATAATTTTCCTCAGATGGTCGTACGTCTGGTCTTCATTCAGAGGGTTTAAAACGCAGAAACGCACCGTTCCATATGAATGATTTTACCGTTTACAGACGGAGTTTTTATTGTCTGCAGGTAAATCCTCCTCTGTGGTCGCCGTAAACTCAACTGGTACAGAAAATTATCTTGTTCCATCAGATTTTAGAGGATTATCTTCTTTAAAATGATTGTAAATATTCATCATTGAGTCACGAGGACTCATTTACAAGAGAGGACGTGTTGTAACATAACAGGATCCAGATTGTGTAAATTTGAACAGGGTGACATGGTTATCATCTATTTACACACAAAATTAAAGGCCTTTAACCTGTCCCTTATTGTCACAAATAAAATTAAAGGAGTTTTATTGAAGAAACTAAAGAAAAGTTGAGACAAAAAAAGAAGTTTATTTTATTTATTTTTTACTAAAAATGGTCTAAAATAATCGTCAACAGATTAAATGAATTAAGAAATTGTTTGCATGAACTGCTACTATTCTAAGACGGTGAAATAAATTCAATAAATTCAAAATTTAGACCAAGTTTTTAAAACTTTACATCTTAAAAAAACAACAAATCTTAAAAACTGAATTGTGTCTCATGCTAAAGTCTATTATTCAAACGTTTACAACGCTCATCGTTATTATCAAATTCCTGCAGGAAGCTCAGGCTGCACTGGAAGTGCTACAGCCAGCTGCTGCTGCAGCTTTTTGACCCAAATAATCATGCATGTCTTCATGAATGAAGCAACGCAAATCGGACAAATGTTTAAAACGTTTCAAATGCGTTGAAATGAAGTGCTCTGAAATTCGGGTCCCATCTGCAACAGGTAAGATGTTGTTTGTTCATTACAGAGAATGGCCTTTTAAAACATTTCAAAGTAAAAAAATTGCTTTTTTCCTCTGAAACGTTTCAAATCCAAACTAAAGCGCTGTTTTTATTTACGTAAATGCATCTGAAATAAAACAGCTGCTTTAATGAGCGTCCTGTCCACAGTGATCCGATGATCACGTGAATTTATTTTTGTTATCGGAGCAGCTGCCTTGAAGTTTCTGTGTCCCTCCCGCCGGAATGAACGACGGCCCCTGAACGCAGCCGACCTGAAACCTCCAGCTCATTTCCAGAGAAATTGACCGTTGAAACATCAGTCGATGAAAAAACACAAAAAGATGTATTCTTGACCTTCATTCCCAAACATGTCGAAGATCAGATGAAGCCCTCATTGTGCTGGGATCCTCAAGGTGCAGCACGGTGGTGGCAGTGTCATGCTACGGGGATGCTTTTCTCGTCAGCAGGGACTGGGAATCCGGTCGGAGTTAAAGTGAAGATGGATGGAGCAACATACAGAGAACATCTTGACCTTTGCTAAAAAACAAATGTCTTCCTCGCTGAGTTTTAAAATCGCAGCTTGAAAGTATCGTCTTCGAAGAATCATTACGCAACATTTACCGGCAGACATATTGTTGCCATTTATTTCTAAAATTAATGACATAATGCCTAACTGGGCCTTAAATGAGTCAAAGCACGCCTCATTTACAGTCGATGTTCAGGTTTCCTGCAGAAGATTTGGAGCTTTTGTTGACAGTCCTTCAATCTGAGATGGGAAGTGGGACACTCCCTGATAACACGGCACTTCCTGCGCCTCAGGGTTTCATACCTCCACCGTTTGCCAAAAGAGTTTGCCTCGGAGAAAAATAAAAAAATAAAACACTCAACGCAGGAATGTGAGCATTCTTGTTTTCCTTGAACTCGTTAGGGCTTTTCCTGGTTTAATCACCGACTAAAGCCCGGTCCAAGGAGGCAGAGTTGTTCCTGAGCTCCTGGTCAGGGATAAAATGGGAAAGAGAAACTTAATTTTAAAGCAAACGGTGGGAAAAAAAAAAAAAAAACAGTATCGGATGACGACAATAAACAAACGAAAGCAGAGAGAGCAGGAAGAGACGAAGGAACAACCTCAAGTTTCTGAAA